TGCTAGGCGAAAAGTTGACATACGAGCTATGGATGACACTTGGAAAGCCGACCTCGTGGATATGCTAACATATGCAAAGAAAAATAGAAACTACAAATACATCTTAACGATCATTGATAATTTTTCTAAGCTCGCCTGGGCTGTTCCTGTGAAGAATAAATCTGGTGAAAATATTTCAACTACAATGAAGTCAGTGCTGGACCAAGGTCGGGTGCCGAAAAACCTACATGTGGATCTAGGAAAAGAATTCTACAATATTAATTTTAAAAATCTCATGAAACAGTATAAAATAAATATGTATTCTACATTTAGTAACTTAAAAGCTTCGATTTGTGAACGCTTTAATCGTACCTTTAACCCTCCTGCGCATAAAGACGACTATAGTCGTCCAAACAAAGTTGTTTCCGTATGCACAAGGACGACTATAGTCGTCCAAACATTTTGGTTAATAACTTTTAAACAAATTATTCTAAATACATTTACTAAGTTGCAACTTAAAGCTTAAGACTCACAGATTGTCATACAATTCTTCAGAAGTTCATATTTATAAAATATTTGATAATAAATAATGAACAATGTTAGTGTAAAAATTAGAAAAAATAAGCTTAAATCATTAATTCTAAAAGTGGACAAATAAAAAAAAAGATTGGATTTTTACATAAATAAGTATATAATGGTGTTTCGGATCGCTGGTGACATATATGAATTTTGAATTATAAAATTCAAAATGGCGGATCCAATATGGCGGACTAATTTTCAAAAAATTATTGAATTTTCTTGCAATTCGGTATATGGAGGTTTTTAGGGTCGCTGATTACGAATCTAAAGTCAATTTTTAAAAATTCAAAATGGCGGATCCAATATGGCGGATTAATTTTCAAAAAAATATTTAATTTTTTTGCAATTCGGTATATGGGGGTTTTTAGGGTCGCTGATTACGAATCTGAAGTTCATTTTTAAAAATTCAAAATGGCGGATCCAATATGGCGGCCAAATTTTCAAAAAGTTATTGAATTTTCTTGCAATTCGGTATATGGGGGTTTTTATGGTCGCTGATTACGAATCTGAAGTTCATTTTTAAAAATTCAAAATGGCGGATCCAATATGGCGGCCAAATTTTCAAAAAGTTATTGAATTTTCTTGCAATTCGGTATATGGGGGTTTTTAGGGTCGCTGATTACGAATCTAGAGTCCATTTTTAAAAATTCAAAATGGCGGATCCAATATGGCGGACTAATTTTCAAAAAAATATTTAATTTTTTTGCAATTCGGTATATGGGGGTTTTTAGGGTCGCTGATTACGAATCTGAAGTTCGTTTTTAAAAATTCAAAATTTCAGATCTAATATAGCTGTTTAATTTTGAAATAATTGTTTAATTTTTCTTTAAATTGGAATCTGCAGTTGCTAAATTCCCACTTTATTACCAGTGAAATTTTACTGATTAAAATTTAGAAAGTGCATTTGGAGTTCTATCTAAAACTGCATGATTTAAATTCTATTGATTTTCAAGAACTAACTTTTCAGAATTTCATTCCGTGAAAGTTTACTTTAATTCTGTAGAAGTTATTCAAATTTTGGTCGTTTCAATAAAATATTTAGATAAACTAGTTCAAAATATTATTAAAAAATTGTTAATATAAATTATTATTGTTATTTACTAGCTTTTTCCATAATGCACATGGATGATACAGTTTTTACCTAATTTTATAATTAGATGAGGTTTATAAGAACACCGATAGATAAAAGGAATAAAATTATTGATTAAACAATTTTTAAACAAATAACAAAAAGTAATTTGTTTAAGAAAATATTTAAATAAATTAATTTCTATTTGTTATCGGTATTTATAAAAATTTTAATAACTTTTAATATTTTGCACTCGCTGTAAACAAATTTGGTAAATAATAAGAATTATTTATTTAAAATTTTAAAAGTTAGTAAATACTAATAATTATTTGTCTAAAAATTGTTCGTACAATTTTATTCATATTTTTATTAGTAATTATATAAAGTACAATAAATTGCAAAATTTAGAAAAAAATGTATTATTCTAGGCTTACTATAAGCGAAGTTTGTAAATAACAATATAGTTAACCTTCACGCTACCAACTATTTTTGTTTGTTTTTTTGCCAAAAACGATTAAAATTCATCAAAGTTTTTCCATATAATTATCTGTTAATAAAATTAATGTATTTTAATAATGTTATTATGCATATTGCATTTGTTTAAACAATTTAATATTGCAAAATCATATAATTTTCAAATAAACAGAGAGATTATAGCAAATATTTGACAACTTTTTATGTTTTCTTAGCTTTATTTAGAATTAAATCAATAAATTAAAGACAATATTTACTGAAACCAGTCATAAGTTTTATTAAAAAATTGTAATATTTTAATCACATAAGGATTAGAAAATTGCAAAATTAGAAAAGACTGCAACTTTCAAGGTGCATTCTTTAAAAATTTGGTAAATAACAAAAATTGTTTAAATAATAATTCAATTTTCATTCTTTATCTGTAATTATATAGATTTCAGTAAATTGCAAAATAAGGAAAAAATTGCAACTTTCAAGGTGCATTCTGTAAAAAGTTGGTAAATAACAACAATAATTTGTTTAAAAATTGTGTAAATAATAATTCAATTTTTATTCTTTATCTGTAATTATATAGATTTTAGAAAATTGCACAATTAGGAAACAATTGCAACTTTCAAGGTGCATTCTGTAAAATGTTGGTAAATAACAACAATAATTTGTTTAAAAATTTTTTAAATAATAATTCAATTTTTATTCCTTATTTGAAATTATATAGATTCTAGTAAATTGCAAAATTAGGAATAAATTGCAACTTTCAAGGTGCATTCTGTAAAAAGTTGGTAAATAACAACAATAATTTGTTTAAAAATTGTTTAAATAATAATTCAATTTTTATTCTTTATCTTTAATTATATAGATTTTAGTAAATTGCACAATTAGGAAACAATTGCAACTTTCAAGGTGCATCCTGTAAAATTTTGGTAAATAACAACAATAATTTGTTTAAAAATTGTTTAAATAATAATTCAATTTTTATTTAAAATTAAAAACGGACTTTAGATTCGTAATCAGCGACCCCAAAAACCCCCATATACCGAATTGCAAAAAATTAAACATTTTTTGGAAAATTAGTCCGCCATATTGGATCCGCCATTTTGAATTTTTAAAAACGGACTTCAGATTCGTAATCAGCGACTTAAAAGACCTCCGTATACCAAATTGCAGGAAAATCTATTGTTGTGAAAAATGTATGCATTTGGTAACTACTGTTCGGGTAAAAACTCATTCTCAGGAGGGTTAAAAAACAAAATGTGGATACAATTTAGTTTACAAGGCAGTTACAAATGGTTAGATATTTTGCAAGATTTACTTTTCTCGTACAATAACACTAAGCATCAAACCATTAAAATGAAGCCAAAAGATGTAAACAAAAATAATGAAAAGGCAATTTTATTTAATGTATATAAAACATTCGTTGTAAAATCTTCGAAAAAGAAACCGAAATTTGAAAAAGAAGATAAAGTTAGAATAAGTAAACTTAAACATATTTTTGAGAAAGGTTACACACCCAACTGGACAACAGAAATTTTTACAATTGATCGGGTAAACAATACTACACCAGTAACATACTTGCTCAGAGATTATCAAAATAGACCTTTAGCTGGTAATTTTTATGAAGAAGAAATTGCTAAGGTTAAAAATCCAGATATTTATTTAATTGAAAAAATATTTTAAAAAACGTCGTCATTGAATGTATATTAAATGGTTAGGTTTTGATAATTCTCATAATAGTTGGATAAATGAGGATATGTAACAAATTTTTTATTGAAATAAATAAATTCAAGAATTTTCATTAAAATATATTTATTGTTCAAATTTATTCTCCTTCAATATAATAATTCTAAGTTACTACATCATCATCTTTTTTCTATTTATATTTCATTATTATCATTTTGCCATATGATACATTTCTTGAAAATTACACATTGATATAATTATAATTATAAAATATATTTTGAATACAATAGATATGCACAATTACTTAATTTCATTCTTCTTTGCATCAATCATCATCTATTTTTCCTTGAAACAATAATATTTTTCCTTGAAAGAATAATTGGTCTTCTTCAATTTTTGGATAAACTTTGTGAAATCTACTGGACAGAATTGTTCTGAAACATATAACAGATATAGATTAAGTATATTATATATTAAGAAAATTTATACACAATAAGAAAACTAAGGAAATACTTACATTCTAATTTTCATGATATTTTGTTTGTATATTTTTGAATGTAAATTATAACTTCATTACAAATTTCCTTTGAATGAAAAGTCATAATCTCAGAAAATGGCTTTTCTATATTTACAGGAGATGGACATTCATTATTTAATAATACTTTTTCTAAGATTTTAAAATAATTTTTCTCAATAAATTTTTCCAAAGCCGTCAGTTGGTGTAGTTCAAATCGCTGATACACAATTTCTTCAATTGTTTTAATAACACTTAATTTAATATATTGCAAAGGTAAAAATTTTATTTCCCTTGCACTTTCTTTCACACAGCGATTTAGTTGCTTCAAAGCTTTAAAAGTTTCAAATTTCAGAGAAAATGAATGTATTAAATCTAATTCTTCTTCTTCTCGTGAATTTCTAATTAACACAAAGCGATGATTTAAATAGCTGACAAAATTCAGATGAAATGTATCACAGTTGATTTCATGAGGTTTAGATTTATTATCAAAAAATACCTCAATTTCTGAATAAAAAGTGGTGAACAATTTCCATTCTAGTACTGAGAATGAGACTGATGTTTGTGGGTGGCTGCTTATTAACTTAATTTTTATGGATAAATTGCTCTTTAATTCAGCTCCAATAATTACTTGTTTTGTAAACGATTAATTTAAGTTATATGTGGTTGATAGAAGTAGTTGATTACGAGGAAGATATGTCATTTTTATTATTCTGCTTTTGACACAAATTCAAAGTAATTATATTTTCCACCCAAAAATTTTAATTGTAATTCTCCTTTTTCTGCTGCTTGTTGTAAGTGAGTCAATGATTCATCATCAATTTTCAGAACCTTTACCATTCTTTGTGGTAAAAATACAACGTATTCACTATTGATTTCAGCCACAATTTTCAAGCCAAATTTTGTTGTCGTTTGCTTAATATCTGTAATATTATAATATTCATTAAGATTTAATTAACTCAATCTTTTGATAGGTAAAAAACTAGCAGCTCTGTTTAATTTCTTTAATTTTCCATCCATTTTCTTCACTTTCTTATCAACCACACTTTATTATTTAAAGCTGTTTATTCTTACACTGACAACAGTTTCTAGATTTTTTAACGCAAACACTCAGTTACAACTTCTCAGTACAGATCAACTAACGAAGACTTTATGGAAACTAGTAGCTAACTCTCACATTTTATACTCTTAAGCATCATTCTGTCTTTTTTAAATAATATATTTCTTCCTTCTTTATTTATATAGATAAGTTTGCAAAATTAAAATTAGATTTCTTAATAAAAATATATATATACCTATCTTTGTCTACCTTGGGGAATAATGAAGACACTAAATAACATATGTTCCTTTATATGTACACTTATGAATAATATAATGTGCTGACATGTATCATGTTACACTTCAGATGACTCCTCTCTGAAATGTACATGACTATTTTTATAATCTATGCAATAATTACTCATTACATTAACAGGTGAGGCTTCTACATTCGAGCAATTCCACGGGAAGTGATCTGAAGAATTTTCGATAATTTTAGCAATATTAATAATACTTACCGAATTTGTTCCCTTACATACATGGAATAAAAATGTATAAAAGTTTTTTCAAAATTTTCAAAATTTTTTGACTTACCGCTTACTCAAAATTTTGGTCGGTTTTTTAAAAAAGGCACATAACTTTTTTCTTTGTTAACCGATTAAGATAATTTTTTTTGGAAAATACTCATAATAAGAAGCACTTTAAAGAAAAAATAAAAAGAAAAAAAAAATTTTTTTTCCCGAAAAAATTTTTAAAAAATTTTTTGAATCAAAATTTTGAAAAAAATACCTCTTCGATTTGAAAATTTTTTTTTGTAGTTATTGTCTATAAAGTCAAGAATACTTCCTATAAATTTAATAATGGGACAACAGTAACTTTACGAGAAAAAAAAAATGTCCAGCGCGGCATGCCGGGACTCGTTCATGTATTCGCTTATGGAGGCGCAAGTTTCGTTCCAAATCACTCTACAAGTCACAATTTTTTGCCAAAACGATTTTTCTTTTTTTCTAAATCTTCGTAATTAAGTTTTTTATCGATCTCTCGAGCCCGGTTTTAAAATTTTGTTTTTTAACATTTTTTTAATAACAATAAATTTAAAAAAAAATCATAAAATCGTAAAATATATTTTTTTCAGCTTCAATCATTCAGAAAATTAATCAAAAAACCTATTAAAAGAATGTTTGAATGTTTCTGATGTATAACAAAAGTATACCAATTTATTAAATTGTTTAAACAATTAATTGTTATTTCTTTCCTAAACTGTACTGAAGGTTAGAAATTTCTAGTTTTTTCTCAATTGTTCAATTTTTCAGGACTAAAACATCTACATTTGAAAAAAACCAAATTATTTATTTCATTGTTCGAACAATTAATTGTTGTTACTTTTTCATAAAATATACTTAGGGTTTGAAAATTCTAGTTTTTTCTCAATTGTTACAATTTTTCATGAGTAAAACATCTACTGATGATAAAAAAAATTATTTATTATAAAACTGTTCAGCTAATTAATTGTTGCCATTTTTTCATAAATTGCACTTAGGGCTAAAGTTTCTAGTTTTTTCAAAGTACAATTCATTAAAAAATAAAAAACTATAAATTAAATAATAAATTTCTAGTTTTAAGTTCAGTAAATTGATAACATTACAAAAAATAAATTGTTTAAACAAAAAAAAATGCACAATTAAAAAAAACTAGAAGTTTCTAACCCTAAGTACAATTTAGGAAAGAAATAACAATTAATTGTTTAAACAATTTAATAAATTGGTATACTTTTGTTATACATCAGAAACATTTAAACATTCTTTTAATAGGTTTTTTGATTAATTTTCTGAATGATTGAAGCTGAAAAAAATATATTTTACGATTTTATGATTTTTTTAAAATTTATTGTTATTAAAAAAATGTTAAAAAACAAAATTTTAAAACCGGGCTCGAGAGATCGATAAAAAACTTAATTACGAAGATTTAGAAAAAAAGAAAAATCGTTTTGGCAAAAAATTGTGACTTGTAGAGTGATTTGGAACGAAACATGCGCCGCCATAAGCGAATACATGCACGAGTCCCGGCATGCCGCGCTGGAAATTTTATTTTTTTTCTCGTAAAGTTACTGTTGTCCCATAATTAAATTTATAGGAAGTATTCTTGACTTTATAGACAATAACTACAAAAAAAAAATTTTTAAATCGAAGAGGTATTTTTTTCAAAATTTTGATTCAAAAAATTTTTTTATGTGCCTTTTTTGAAAAACCGACCAAAATTTTGAGTAAGCGGTAACTCAAAAAATTTTGAAAATTTTGAAAAAACTTTTATACATTTTTATTCCATGTATATAAGGGATCAAATTCGGTAAGTATTATTAATATTGCTAAAATCATCGAAAATTCTTTAGATCACTTCCCGTGGAATTGCTCATTCTTATTACAATAGGCGGATAATTAATTTTCTATTAAATAATCAAACAATTTGTTTAAAACATTATAAACGCAAAAATTTATTCGAAAAAATTTTCTACTTACCGTAAAATCTTGAGATATAATGAAACTCTGTATGTTAACCTATACATCATAAATATACTTATTCGTTTCTCAGTTTTGAAAAAAATTTACAAATTTTTTTGAATAAGTTTTTTTTAAAAAGATTTTTAGAAGAAATTGCTCTTCTCTTTTTTTCTTTAGAAGTTTCTCGAATAGAATAGATTAAAACCATTTTTTTATTTCAAATGTCGGTAAATTTCGGTAAAGGAATCTGTATCTAGAACCGGCCCTGTATATCTACTAGGGCTAACATTAAAATTCTTTACAATATTTTCGTCGTCAGGTACATAATACGCAGGTTTAACATTTTTAATTGAAACTCGAAGTTTTTCTCCATTCACATCAATTTCGTACACTTTTTCAGACACACGACTAAGAACCTTGTGAGGTCCAGTATAGGGATGTTCAAGTGATTTTTTAGGGTCTTTCGTATACGGAGAAATACATGTGAACACGAATCGAGGTTTTTATACAAGAATACCTTTCTACTGTGTTTATGCGTGACAAGTGCAGGTTTAATTACGCGCATATTCTCTCTAAACTCCTCAAGAAAAAATTGATGGTCCGATGAGAGATCCTCGGGGAGAATAAACTCTCCAGGAAATCTTAAGGATTTACCATATAGGAATTCGGTCGGTAATGCGCCTGAGTCAAAAATATTATTTCTAAGACCCATTAAAACAGTGGAAAGAGATCGTACCCAATTCTTGTCAGAATGACACATAAGCGCGGATTTAAGAGTGCGCTGCCATCTTTCTATTATACCATTAGATTCCGGATGATAGGGTGTTGTTCTTATTCTATCGCAGCCGTTCATTCGTAATAGAGCAGCAAAAATTCGCGACTCTAACTGTCTCCCTTGGTCGGTCGTCACCGTTTCGGGGGTGCCGAATCGAGAAATCTATCCGTCAACGAAGGCTCTACAAATTGTTATAGCTTCTATGTTTTTAAGAGGAATGGCCTCGGGTTAGCGCGAAAACCTGTCTATCATAGTCAAAATATAAGAATATCCGTCACTATACGGGAGAGGACCGACTATATCTATATGTACATGGTTAAATCTACTCTCGGGCATAACGAAATGTGATGGGTTAATAATCGTATGTCTAATTACTTTTGACCTTTCGCAAGCCACACACGATCTACACCAATTTTTTATGTCGCTATGCATCTTTGGCCAGACGTAATTCTTTCGAATGATTCTGTCGGAAATCTTCGCGCTTGGATGAGCAGGATTATGGATGGTATCAAAAATTTGTTTTCGTAGAGATTGAGGGACAAAAGGACGCAAAATATCTCCCGTGATATCACAGACAATGTTGGTTTGATCAGGACCCCATTAAATGTTTTTCAATTTGAGAAAAAATTTTCGTTTTAAAGAATAGACTTCACTTCCTCATCTACTTCTTGAGCTCGAGCTAATTTAACGAGATTGTTATCAAAAACTAAATAGACAGAGTCAATACGAGAAAGAGAATCCGTTACTACATTGTCCTTTCCTGGAAGAAATTTAAACGAGGTGGTAAATTGAGAAATAAAATTTAGTTGTCTGATTTGTCTAGGTGACGATTTGTTTAATCTTTGCGAAAATGCATACGTGAGTGGCTTATGATTCGGAACAACCTTAAATTCCCTACCTTCGAGCATGTATCTAAAATATTTTAAAGATTTGAAAATAGCTGTAAGCTCCCTGTCGTATGTGCTGCAGTTACGTTAAGCTGCCGAGAAACTACGCGAAAAGAAACCAAGAGGTTTCCAACTGTTGTTTTGGAATTGTTCAACGGAAGCACCCATTCCGGTGACGGAAGCATCAGTTACTAAACGCAAAGGACCATTTTGGGAAGGATGTGCTAACAATACAGCGTTTTCTATATTTTTTCGAATATGATAAAATTCTTCCTTAGCTTGAGGATTCCATTCTACTTTTTGATTGTCATTTTTTGGATTGGTGAAGGAAGGCGTTAAGAGGGATCTGTGTTTGTGCGGCATGAGGTAAACATCTGCGATAAAAATTGGCGAGACCCAAAAAGCGACGCAATTCCACTACAACGACAGCTTTAGGGAAGTTCGAAATAGATTTAACCTTCTCTGGAACTGGTTTGATTCCCTCTTCATTTACTACATAACCCAAATACTCGAGTTCAGAAACAGCAAAACAACACTTACTAACATTTAGAAACAAAAAGAAGTCTCTCAACCTCTCGAACACTATGTCAAGATGCTTCTTATGCTCTTCTAAATCAATAGAAGCGATAAGAATGTCATCCCATGTCAATTAGGAATTTGAGTCCTGTTATTTTATCTCTAATTAAGAGATGTTTTAAACCGTTAGTTACATCGACCGTCTCCACTCGATGTGGTTGTATTAGTTTTCCGATTGAGATTCTTTTCGCACACGCGAATAAGAACGATTATGAGATCTAGAACGAGATTCAGAATAAACTGACAACGCTTCGACCTTTGCCATCAAAGCATCGATCGTTGAGCTGTAATTCAACTAACTTCAAACATAAATTCAACCTGAGCAAACCAGAGTCCGGGATCTGAACAAACAAAATCGGAAAGATTAGGCATTCGGTACGCGTTGACCATTATTTGATCTTGATTTATGCAATTCTGATTATCATTAATGTTATTATTTGTATTAGGATCCATAATGATTTCACCCCCGTTCCCATTTACTTGTGGGTCAGGCACCCCACCGCCCGAACCCTCACCGTTGTTAGTTGAAGTATTTACTTCGTCCATACTGACAGGCGTTCAGGAAAAAATATTGTAATTTTTTTAAAGAAAAAAATGTAATATAAGAAATTAAATTACTCGAACGTTCCCAATAAACGATTAAAACCTTGTCCTGCCGTGGCCACATTACCTGTTAATGCCACTACGTTAAAAATGGAAGGCATACAGTTTTCTTTATTTAATTCAAAGAGTTTTTGTAATTCTTTATCTGTGCTTGAAAGAATGACTCTTCCATTAAGAAAATTTGATATTTGGAAGCCAAGAATAGGACGTTTCTCTCAGTTTTCTATTAATTTTGAGGCACAAAAATATATAGGGGAGGATTAGTGGACTTCACTACCTTGTGTTGATTTGATAAAATTTATCATATTAAAACAGCTTAATGTTCACGGACCTGATGGCGTATTTTATTTACAGAAGTACTCTATTTTTGAGTCCAACATCATTAAAATTGTAAGTAACTTGTTTCCAGTTATTAACTAATACAATTTTTTATTTATTCCTATTTCTATATTTATGAATTAATAATTTAAAAAAATTTATTTCTAGGTTGATAGAGAACTTATATCTTGGCATGGTAATAAGAGAGTTATTATGGAAGTTCCTAAGGTTCAATACGGAGATGTGATTATAAATTTGCCTGCTGAATTTTTTTCTAAAAAGGATTCAATTATCGAGGATCATAAATCTTTACTGGATCAACATTTTGAGACCGGAACACCATTCGTTTTATACAACCGATTAGTAAAATTTGTGGACAATTCATTGATTCGAGTACGTATTTTTAGTCTTGTATTTTTCTTTGTTTCTCGTTTATTTTATTATAATTATTAGTAACTTCCTTATAGGTTTGCGTATGTGATCAATGGGTCAATGAGCAATTAAAACCACTAACTTTTAAAGAGAAAAGAACGGCTATAAGAATTTTTCATTTGCGTTTGGAAACCCCTTTTGAGTGGAAACTTAACTTTCATTGTTCGATGACTGAGGTACTTTCCTGTCTTAGAAGGCATCTGTTAGAATCAGGAGATCCTTTAGGGTCTCCTTTCTTTGCCGGTGCCGTAAAATAGATTATAAGGGGTCACCTGGTGGGTCGCGTAAGTGTTTAATATTTTATTTTATGCATTTTACTAACAAAACGAAAATAATTTTTATGTTTTAGTATTTTGGACCTTGATGGAGATACTTTATAATTGTTTATATATATAAAATTATTAGAAAGGAAAAAAAAATAAAAAAAAATTTATAGTATTTGTTTTGTTTTATTATTCTTCTTTACTCTTTCCAATAATTCTGCGCAGATTTCATTTCATAAAGTATATTTAGATCAAATATACTTATAATTCTTTGGTTAGAACTTTGAACTAACATTTTATCCTGTATTGGTGTTTTTAAAGGTAAGTTAGACATTTCTTCTATAATGGAGTGATAAATGGGAATTCATTTGAACTAATAAATTTGCAGTTGTAATACATTGAATTAATTAATATACTTGATTCACAAGTTGGATTTAATTCAACGTGATTAATAAATGGTGTAAATTTTTCTTTAAGATTTGAGGTTAAGAAATACTTTTTATTTTCTTCAGAAAGGCCTATTATTTGAGAGTCTATTTTTATAGAAATAAAAGATTTGTTATAAAACATTGGATATGAGTAAATTTTAAATAATTTTAAACTTTCTGATATTTGTTTTGGAAATGAGTATACAATAAATAAATTTTTATTTGAGTTTAAAGTTTCGACTTTTAAAAATTTTTAAAGAGTTTTAGTATTCATGGTATAATTTAGAAAAATTTTTTCAATTGGAATGGATTGATGCCATTTATTATTCATTGAAGCTACAAAAGTTTCTTGTATATTTTGTAATTTTTTAATGTATTTTTCGATTGAATATAACTGTTCATACATATCGTTTAGATTAGGAGGATCTAAAATAAAAATTTGTTGCAAAAATGTATTTTTATCTGTAGTTTTCATTGTGATATTATTCATTGTATAAAAAGTATATTTTGTAATTTTTTAATGTATTTTTCGATTGAATATAACTGTTCATACATATCGTTTAGATTAGGAGGATCTAAAATAAAAATTTGTTGCAAAAATGTATTTTTATCTGTAGTTTTCATTGTGATATTATTCATTGTTTCCTTCTTTTCTATAAAGTTAAAAATGCCAGTTTTTTGTGTTGGTTCTGTAGTTTTATTTATAATTTTCTTTGTTTCATAAATTAATGCTTCAAATTTTTTTATTTTAAGTTAAAGTTGATTTCTTACTACAATGCAGAATAATATGCAACTTTGCATAGTGTTTTCATAAAATTTTTTAAAGTTTTCTAATTTACTGAATAATTGTTTGTGATTAATATAATAAATAAATTTTACTTCACCAACAGAAAATTCTATATTTTTTAAAGGTTTATAATATAGTCCTGGTGATTGTGTAAATGAAACATTTTGTGGCATGATTTGAAATGTGCCTTTGATTATTCCCATCAAAATAGCAAAGATTAATAAGATCATTTTATTTTTAATCTCCATTTCTGAAACAGAATCAAGTATAATTATTTTTATATTTTATGATAAATGTTCTTCTTGCGATGTCCGCAAAAAGTACATTTTTTAAAACTTTTCTTTTCTTTATTTTTATAGGATGTGGAAGTTGAAGGAAGATTTGTATTTTCAAAGGAATTTTTTTTTCATTCGCGACTGTCATATTTTCAATACAGTTAGTTATCACATGTTCAAAAGAGTTACTATAATTTTCTATTTTCTATGTTATGTAAACTTCTGATACGTTTGTTTTAAAGATGGAAAATTTAGGAATACGCATTCCTTTTCTATAGCAGAAATCGTTTAGCTTTTGAATAAGCTTTATTTTAAATGAAATTGTTGCTATTTTCAGAAATTCATTTTCTCCATCGATTAATTTTTTAACTAAACGATACGCTGCAGTTTCTTTTGATAACTCGAGATTGTCACTTGTACTACAAATTATAAAATTTTTGTATCTTATATCTGTAACGTACTGAGGTTGATGAATGGCATCTGCCGGTGCTTGATAATTTGAATTTATT